AGTCTTTGAAGAGAAATGCAAAATCAAATCTGCACTTTAAACACACTTATGGCAGATTTTAAAGGCCTGTCAATGAACGACCAAATAAATTACCAATGATATGTATTTCAGCATATTTGACCAAGACTATCAATAAACAAAGTTGAAGTTCCTAGAATGAGAGACAGGAGTACTAATTTCTGCATTTCCATTAGCTGCTGCGCTGGAGTCCCTGGGAGAATAAGTACAAATTGGACATCTGTTGAACTGGCATTACAGCAGTGTGACTGGGCAATGCACTGCAGAAAACAACATGAGAAATCTTAAATGAATTTGCAGGGAAGTAATTTACAGCTGTTGCAGATCTTAAAAGCAGCTAGAAGATTCTGCATTCTTCAAAAATGGGAAGAAGAATCTTTTAAAAATACATTATTTTTAAAAAAAGGTGAGCTCCTGAATGACCTCAGGAACCACATACGTTTTCAGCTGAAGAAATACAGAGCTACTTTTCATGTTGTAAATCTATAGAAGCTTTGACTCATGTGAGTACAAGTACAAACTTACAATGTTAGGTAGCTATTAGTTATATAGCTACACAGCAACGCTAGATAGAAGCTTTATTCCATCCTTGAACACTTAGCAATTGCTGAGCTGCTGTCTATGCAGCGTATTCAGTGCTTTTCTGAAGGGAAAAAACATCTCCTCCACCCATTAAATATGTCCTTGCTCACCGTACACAAGAAAACTGCTTCCTCTGTTGTTCCTCTTCTGGCATTACCGTACAGAACAAGGTGCATATGCATGAGGACAAGCTGACAAGTTGGGTCCCTGGACTGTATGCTATCTGTGTTTCCCTTATCACATAGGTCGTCTAGCTAGTGAAGAATTAATTTGGCAAAAATTTCATGTCCTTCCTCAATCCAAGATCCAGTGAAGGCCTAAGGCAGCTTTAGCTTAACAGAAGAACCTTAACTTGATAGTTAGTTATCAAAGCTATGTAAATTACATTCCAGATGCAACACAACAAAATTTGCTTCTGCAGTGCTGGGGGAAATGCCTGAACTCACAAAGGTAGATCAAATTTCCTCATCTGAAGAGGCTTTAGGTTCCCCCAGCTGCCCTGCACACAGAACTTGGATGCTTAGCTCTACGCTGGTTCAGGTGAGATGCACAGCTTCAGAAGCAGCTTCCTTTGCCAGTAAGCAGCAACTTCAGTAGGACAAGTGAGGACATCTCTGCTGGAGCCAAGCCAAGCCTGCGGGGGCTGAGACCAGCACCGGGTCCAGGGGAGCACCCTGATCCATCTCTCAGAAATGCTGTGCTGCTGTCATGATGCTGCTGCATTGCAAGGAAGCTCTCAGCTCCTCCAGCTTGGAGGTTCAAACTCGATTATCCCAAAATTGCACATTGGTACTTCCTTGATGTTCCTGGGAATGACTGCTAAAATTCACATGGAGATCTAGTATGGATGGTGTCTTGTTGTGGAAATGTCTTCCAGTAAATCATGGGTTTTAGCTCATCTGAACTCTGAATAATCACTCAGACTATCTTCTTTCAAAAGCAGTATTTATTTTTTCATCAAGATAAGACACATTACATACTGTATAAAGTAAAACATACTGCTAGGAAAGCTGCATTTAACTGAGATAACAAAAAAATATATATAGATTGCACTTGAGAAAGTAGGCTCCATCCCAGAAGAATACAGTAAATAAAAAGCTAGCGCGCAGTTTGAAACTAAGAATCTTTCTGAATTTCCTTTGAAAATCTATTTATTTTGGGGGGTTCCAGTTCCACCAAGAAAAATGAATCAGATCAGGTTTTTTACTAGCTTTGCTTATGAAGTTAAAAAAGTATGTAAACAACATAACAATTATTACACAGACAAAAGAGAAAACAAAGGCATGGAAAACCATCTCTGCAGTTTCTGCTAATAAATAAAAAGTTTTGCTGGTATTTGGTTTCACCAGGGTGAAATTGCAGCTCGGGGCTTGGGTTTTGGGCAGTTTTGCTTAGTTCACATGTACGTTATCATAAAGCCCATCCTTGACACTCCTGCACTGGCCAGAAGCATGCTATCTGTATGGCAGATGGCAGCACGAAGCAGTGAATGGTTCCATTCATTACTATGTGTCCCAGGAGTAATACTTTAAATTTTGCAAAAAATTTAAGCTATACTTAAGAAAGTAAACACAACACTAAACAAGAGGATAATCCCTATTATACCCATCTCTTTTTACTTAAGAGCTGAATTTTTCTGCTGGACCCTGGCATCCACTGCTGCCTGTATCTAATTCAGTTAGCTAAACTATTAGCTGTTCAGTCTTTAAAATGAGTATTCATACCATCTACCTTTGTGTATCGCATTTAGATGCCCAAATCAGCTTTCTGATCTTTCTACGTCTTCAAAAGAGAGAAAGAAAAGCTCCCACACAGGGTGACCTCAACCTGGGAGCTAGGGGACCCTTCGGCAGAGCCCTCATTCGCCTGCAGTGGTAACTCAGGCTCCCAGACAAGTCTTGATCCCCCAAATGAGGAGGTGTAAATATCCCTCCCAAGGCACGGCTGCTGGGGTGGAGATGGGACAAGCAGGCATAGGTGCACGCGGGATGCCAGCCGCATCAGATGCCCGATGCACATCCTTCCCTGGGTGGTGGGAATTAAAGGACCGCTCAAAGCACAAAGTCATACGACACTGATGTTTGCTACAGCCAATGCTAACTGTGGGGCCAGAGTGTTTAGGCACAATTTGGGCATAATTCAGTCAGAAATATACATTAGAGTGCACAATTGAGACAATTACATTGTCTCAAAAACAATCAGCACAGCCAAGGCCTCACATGCAAATTTCTTACAAAATTAGCTAAAAATTATGGAAGAGCTGGGTCAACCTTGTTATTAAGCTAGAGACAGAAAAAGAATGAAGTCTTCTTTAAACAGTCCTGAACGACGAAATGAAGCTGACAATCTTTGGCTACAGTGCTGTTCTTTTAATGTGAATTGCTTTGAGAAATGATGAATCACTTCCCAAGTCAGCATTCAGGAGCATTTTTAAAACAGACATCTGGGAGCCAGAGAGGAAAAATTAATATAAATAATAAAACCACCACACTTTTTGAATCTCAAAGGTTAAAGAACAGGAAAGAAAGTAAAACAACTTTTCTAAGGGATGTTTCAGTAAAATTTTGCTAAAATTATAAAAGAGCACTTGTAAAATACTTGAGTTGCCAAAGAGGGTGAGGCAGAGCATTAGGGAGCTCTTGTCACAAAATTTTAGATTGCTAAAACATACTGGCTTGAAGGCTCTCAATATTATATTACAGCACACAACAGTTTTCACGAATTATAAAGCACTATTGTCAAACTACTTCACTCTTTCCGAAAGACAGAAACACAAGAGGCAACACAAACAAGATGAATCGATGCAGCCTATGTCTGCTATTAAATATAAAACCTCAGCCATTAAATGTGCCGCCCTACTCCCTCAGTTACATTCATGATCAGAACTCCAATTCTTTGCCAGACTTAAATCTGTCTATACTTTACACCTTTGGAGCAGCATTTAAAAATCTTTGCAGCTAGTTTGGAAGGATTTTTTTTTTCCCTTTTCAGCTAGAGCACTTTCGTAATAGTTTAAAAGGCATAGGAAGCTATGCTGTAGCTTTTAAAGTGCTTATTTTATTATGAGGTGGTGTTTAATAATATTCTTCTGGAAGTTAATAAAAGATGCACATTTTCCATGACAGACAGACATTGCTTAATGAGTTAATATGCCTCAGCAAAATGCAATCAAAAAGAAATTCACTGCCAACAGTTCAACCATGGTAATACACAGAGCTGAAATGAGACAACTAACCTCAGATAACTAAGATTAATGCATACATGATGAAGTTATAATAATACATATTTAAAGCAAACAAACAAACACACCCCAAACCAAATAATGATAATTAAATCTCAAACACGGTTTTGTTTCCCAGTAACACAACTGCAAAACAAATCAGTATTTTCAACAAACAAGTACCCTATCTTCATCGTCTGCATGGGGAAACATGGCACTCCTCGCACTGCAGTGAGGAGGATGCAAGGGGAGGGTTGTCTCTCCCTTTTCATGGAGGGGGGGCTCCTCCTGGGCAACTGTGGGCAGCTCTGGGCAAGGGGCAGGAGTCCAGCCCACGTAGGCAGAGACCAGAATCAGCCCCAGCCCGCAGGGATTTACCTGGGGACCTGGCGGGAGTCTCCTCCTGCAGAAGCGCCTGGGCGATGGCTCCTGTGGAGTCACTCACCATGGCAAAAGTACCAGGCTCCGCATCCCCCACCGCCACCACTGTCCCAGTTTATGCAAAGCATCTATGAATTTCAGCACACTATTTGTTCGAATACAAATAGTGAGATTTGACTTAACTGGTGTGTTATTTCACGTAGTGATGGATTTTCCTCATTATATCCCACTCTGTTGGGCTGGAACACTGGGAAGTTCCCTCTTGGAGCAGGACTAAGCAATTTACACTCATACAGGCTCAAATTCTCTCTTCATTTATACCCAGAAAGCCCTGCTGACTGTCAGGAGAGCTAAGCAGGTAGAAATGGCAGCAGAATTTGAGTGTAGGAACTGGTGAGTGAGAAACAGAAACATAACACGATTTCATTGCCAGCTACCACAAAGACCTGCACAACTGGTGTTTAATTTCAGTGGGCATTGTGTGCCTAAGGACTGTAAGTGAGCTTTGAAAATCTCAACCCTCAGAACCTAGCTACAAATAAGCATAACTGGATGCTGATACCTAAATCTATGATATACCTTTTTAGCTGCCATGGCACTAATCAGCACAGCTATGCTGAAACACAGAGATCATTTTTGCTAATTGCAAAGGCAGGCTAGGAGCATAGTTCAAATGATAAGTGAGTAAAGGTCCTCAGAACAATCCTGCTTAAAAGTAAACGTCTGGTAAGCTGCAATTAGTGTGTCTTGGTTTTTTCTTTTATTTATTCATTTATTTATTTATTTATTTATTTATTTTTTATCGGGGTGGTCTTGAAGTGCAGATACAATCACATCGCTCATGGTGATCCAGCTGTATATCTACTAAGGCCATGTTGTTCCTGGTTCTGCCTTTTCTTCTTGGATGCCCAGCCTCAGGGATGAATTTCAGCACCTGGGAGGATCAACAGAAATGCACTGATTAGAAAACACTGTTAGAAATTTGAGGATGAGAGTGTTGGGGTCCTGAGGGCACACAGTTTGCACACATTTTTGTTTGCACACATTTTTGTTTTACTTCCAGCTTTTTCTTTCCACTTTGTGACATACTTCTGTACTGTTTGTCCTGGAGCTTTGACAGATCGGATTATTTCCTACATCAGGTATCTTTATATCGTGCAGTTCCCTAACCATGAGCAGAGTTGCTCCTTTGCGTGTGAATTATCAAGCACGTTTCCTTTGGCTCGTCTTTGCAGTCCCATACATATTTGAATTGCTTTGCCCCTTCTCTCACTTGTATAATATTTCTGCTCTAAAGAACAAGGAATATTTCTTTATGCAATTTGAAATTTCTGAAGCACATATCGTTACAACTCGTCCAAAAATGAAATGCCTGAGGGAGGCAGAAGGAGGTGAATGGAGCTTGTGCAAAATATGTGCCAGATCCCATCGAGTTTCTCTGGGATCTGACTGTTGTTGGCTTATCTAAAAAGTCTCTGCCTCAACTTGAATAATTTCTTAAGAATTTTCTGTTAATAATGTGAAAAAACAATCAAACAAAAAAAAATATTTCCTAGGAAAGTATACATCTCACAAGAGGCTTCTGGAAAAACTCTATCTAGGCAAGATAACCCTAAGACCCCTAAAAAGGAGGGTGGTAGGTTACAAAGAAGATGAAAAAGAGGCAAAACACAAGTTGCAACAAAAGAAATCCCTTTGGGGTATACGGAAGAAAATATTGAGAGTGGTTAAACACTGGAGTAGGTTGTCCAGAGAAGTTGCAGAAACCTTGAAGATATAGTCAAAATTAACAGGACAAGGCCCTGAGCAACTTCATCTAACTTCATAATTCTTCCTGCTTTGAATGGGAGACTGGGTTAGATGACTCCCAGAGCTGCCTTCCAACCCGTATTATTATATGAATCTATGATTCCCTGAAAATATTCTTGTGGATATGTGGAAGACAGCCATAATGTTGCATCCTGTCTAATCTTCTGTGATAGTGCAAGTATGTAAACCACGGACCGGAAAAAGCTGAGAAGGCTGGCTGTTTGTGGGGGTACGCTTTGTGAGCCCGCCGTTGGAGGCTGAGCTGCTGTGTGAGAGCTCATACCCCCACTAGCATGGTGGCGCTGGCTGAGGGGAGGAAATCCTCCAGTTTGTTTCACTAGTTTGCTGTTGATGGGCCTACAGTAGTTTAACAATGGAGAAATTAATTTCCAATTTCTGCCCTGAAGTTCAAACACTAGTTTGGATTAGGTACAACAAATGAGTTAAGACTAAGAACACTTTAACTCTCCTACAGCATTTTTCTCCCCAAATCTCAGCACATTGCACAGAAAGACATGCAACATTGTCGTACTTGTATAGATGGAGAATCTGAAACTGATTCGCTCAAGACTCTGCAACATATCAGTAGAAAAACTATCAGTGGCATTACATGGTCCTTTCCCATTTGAAATCATGTATTTACTGACGGGGAGCAGGACACAGGGAAAGCAAGTCTGCAGCTCCACAGCTGGCCGTAGGCTGGTGGGCTGGTTCTGCTCTCTGTGGCCTCAAGTACTTCAGTCCAGAAACCATGCACTGGTAAGGTACTAGAGCTGACACCTGTCACCTCTTGGTAGGCTGTTTGTGTGACTCATACTAGCTTGGCAAAGTGACTGCTAGACTAGCTAGATTTGTCTTGCTTGTTCAAAAGATGGAGAGAAGTCTGTCTTGTCTATGACCTGCCAAAGCCACTGGTCAAGAGAGAAGTGGGACCTAAACATGTGCCTCAACCACAGAAACACCCACATTTCTGTGCTGAAGAACAGGTGCCCTAACCAACAGATCATACTGTCACTCAATTAATAATTCTCTCTTTTTTATGAAGTACTTTCTGTACTTTGATGTTGCTACACCATACAAGAATTGAGATGGTCTCAGGAAAGAGAGGGAATAAGGGGCTGTATACCAGATCAACAAAGTATTAGCAATTTCAACGGAATTAGAAAGTCCCCAAAAGTAAGTGTGAATGACTCGCCAAAAGTTAACCACAGATGCTGTGCAGAGCGGGTGGGGAAGGGTAGGCAGGTGAGCAGGCTTTGGGATGAGACCATTTGTTCTCTGCCATTAATGCCTGGAGGGTAGGAAGGCCATGGGATGTAACAAAAGTGATAAGCACCGAGCACAGTCTATTATTTTGTCCTCCCATTTGTGATAAAATTTATGTTTAACCTGTGTCATACTGAGAGGAAGGACTGTGCCTAAGCAAGGTACAGATGTGCTGCTTTAACGTGTTGGGAAGATATATGTACTCTTTCGTGTCAGAAATTCAGACATGTAATTTCTTTTCTTTGTTTTTAAAAGAAACCCAAAATTATAATGGATTTGAATTGATTTCAAACACTGACTGCCTCGATATAGGCAATAAATCCTGATGGACACCAGGACAATTCACTGTACCACATTGTCATCCAAAACACAGAGGTACTGAACCCAATCAGGTTGCAATGATTTATTACAGAGCTGAAAACAGATCACATCTTTGAAGATGACTTTTTTTAAGAAAGCATATATATAAAAGCAAGTACAGCTGCTAACACTGAAGCCATGATAAAATTATTTATTTAATTATTTATTATTTATTTAAAGAAACCTTTCATCAAAATCTGACAAATTCAGATGATTGGCACTTGGATCATGGATAGGTAGATCTGCTTTTTTCAACCGAGAGCAAATGAAAGTATGCAATGGGATAAGAGCAAAGATGTGGCCTGTATTTAAGCTAACAGACCTCCTGACAGCTTGGGGATTTTCCCTGTGTTTTGTATTAAGAAACATGAGCACAGTATATGGGCTTTGCTGATAAGAGTAGAAAAATCAATTGGCAGTCACTTCCCCAGACAAGACAGGGAAGCAGTGTTTGAACACTGCTGAAATTGGACTGCTTTAATAGCTGATCACAGAACTGATGTTCAAAGCTCTCTGTCTAGCTTCTATCTAATAGTTTTAGTTTCAGCTAAATACAAGGGAATTGAAAAGAATCAGGAAGTCAGGCCAATTCTGGTGACCACAGCAGTTTAAAGAAAACCCTTTAATGCTGAAAACAGGTGCTGTTTATTCATTACATCATCAGGTCCTTGAAGGTGAGGAACTGCTGAACTGATGAAAACACTTCAAAGAAATTTTGTTCAGGACACTTCATTGCTCCTTCTTTGATGGGATCAGTAGCTGTAAGAAAATATGGATGTGAGGAAGGTCTGAAATGCTCAAAAGGTTTCTTCTGTGTGGGTGAAAAAGAAGAATAACCTTGCAGTTTTCAAACTAAAGGAGCAATGTCTGTCACTGCTAATCAAAATGTGGTGCCTCAGCTGTTATGATCACTGCCTCACAAAGAGTATATAACTACAGCCATGTGCACCTCATCCAACACTAAGGTAATTATGGTCATAAAATTATTAAAGCAATAAAAAAAAAAAAGTTAAGACAGACGATTTAGCTTCTGAACTGGATTTGGTGTTTACAGGTAATACAAATAAAGGTATCAGGGTCTTGTAGCATTTCTTGTGCAGACAGCTCCATAGCAGCACACCAACATGCTGGATGGCATTTTACTTTGCAGGTATGCCTGAGCATCTGAGAGGTTTCAAGGTGACGTGACTGTGGCTGCTGCATAATTTTCCTTGGGGATAGTGGGGAAGGAAATGTAAAGAAAATGCTTACATGAGGTTCCCTGCCAGGAATCTTGCTCATTGATCGTGCATCGAATTTGGATGCCCGATTCTGAAGGACTCTTTATGCGAGAGAGCAAAGCCATCACGAAAAACAGTATCTGGAAGCTGAAGCCAGAAAAACTCAGACTGGAATTAGGGCACATTTGTTTAAGCCAGGCTGACTCGTTGCCTGGACAGCCCTCCAAGGAACCGTGGGGTTTGCAGCCTGTTTGAGGACATTGGAAAATGGCTGCCTTTCCAGAACGTATACAGTATAAGTTTGGGTCTTACTTTAGGGGCAGCAGGGTGCTCTGCAGTGGCCTGTGGAGCACAGCAGGTCGGGGCTGATGGCCTGGCCACCCCGCTCATCTCGGCAGATCTGTAAGAGCACTTGATCAGGGTCTGAGGAGAGTAGAGCTGTGATGACTGCTGGGGAACGGACCCAGCTGAAGATAACCTGCTCACCCTGACCCACAGCTGGCATTTCTCTAGTAGAAGCAGCAATAAAGAGGTGAGTCCAGAGAATGATTCAGCTGAAACACCTGCCTCTGGTGCGGCTAGCTCTGATAACTGGGAAAGGAGCCCAAAGGCTGGACTCGCAGCTTTAGATCGGTAGAGTGAGACGAGGTGAACCTCCTGACCACCAGCATTCGCTGACAGTCCTAGCCATGCATCATTTCCTTTGAAGTTAGGCAACATTTAGCCACAAAAGTCCATGATGGGTGATTTCTGTTTTAATAAAAAGCAAAGAGTAATAGGAAACCCAGTCAACACTTCTTCAAAATAATTTTAAAATGGGGCATCCAGTTGCTCTTAGCCATTTTTTACTTATTATAATTTACTTCATTTATTAGGCACAACAGTAACAATTTGTTAAATTCTTGACCAGTAGTTTAAACACCAATAAAAATCCAAAGCCTCACTCGAAAATCAGCTTTTTTTTTTTTTCTGATTAGCTTAAGAAGACCACAGATAATCAGTAACACGACTACGGCTTACCAAATATCTGGTTAGCCTTATATTCCAGTGACAGAGGATGGAGAGTGACTCTGGATGCTATTTTAGATAGTGAAATTTGTACTTTGCAGAATTTATTTTAAAATCCTGCTATGCAGCATTATCTAATCTCCTTCTGCTCATCTAAAAATACTATCATTCTAGCATGCAAACCAAATTATATTTGTCTGAGATTCATTAAAGAGGAAGCATCAAAAGTGCAAAACATTCAACACAGATCCAAGTTCTGATACAGATAAAA